CTTGACATTGAGCCTCAGTCCATACTGAAGGCTGCAGTCCTTGACCCTTCGCAGCAAGTGCATGAGGTCCTCCTCAGTTTGAGCAAGCAGGGTTGTGTCATCTGCATAAATTAGAAAAAAAAAGAATGCTCCCTGGAACCAGATTGCGTTTTCCAAGGCACGAACATGGATGAGGATTTGTTTTTCACTTTTAAAATTTTGTTTTGAATTTTATATTGTTCAAATAATATAACTTAAAAAATACTTGGTTGGGTGTGGTGGGTTTTTTTTTGTTTTGTTTTTGTTTTTTAAAGAAACTGCTTATTAAAGGTACTGGCATACCTTGGAAATCTTGTGGGTTTGGTTCCAGAACATTGTAAATAATAAATTAGCACACTTTTTTTGTTTGTCTGTTAACAGAATACTGGTAGCTTGGTGTTACATGTTACACTTGGTGTTGTCTTAGTGTTTCCTGTTCACGATAGATTTATCAGCAGTTCTAATCCCCCAGCTGCTTCTCAGGAGAAAATTTAGCTGTTTTCTTCCAGGAAAGTTTTATAACCTCAGAAACTCAGTGGAGGGTCACCATGAGTCAAATGATGCAGTGTATTTTTTGCTTTGGTTATCAATATAAAGTATGCAGTAAAATAATGTGTAAATTTGTGGTGTTTTGAGAATTACCAAAAGGTGATATGAACATGAAGTAATCACATACTGTTGGTAAAATTATTCCAGTTGACTTTCTTGTCTCTGGGTTACTGTTAACCTTCAATTTGTAAAAAAATAAAATGAGATATGCCTGCACTGTAAACACAGGTTATGTCAGTATTCAGAAGTGATAACTAAAAGCTAATATTTATAGTTCGTAAATTAGTCTCCAAGTCAATTTAAAAACAGTAAAAACAGGCAAATGAGAATATGAGTTTATTCGAAGTAAAATTGCATATGGCTAGTGGGACGCTTTTTGTCTTTTCAGGAAAATGCAAAATGTGAAGCTGAGTTTGAGTTTTGTGTTAATAGTGAAATTAATTGTCCAATGTAAAGGGGATTACAGACAGTCCTTGGGAATGTCTGACTAGTGATCTGTGCACAACTCCCACTTGCCTTTTAATGCTAATGTAAATTTACTTTCACTTAGAAATGATTGAACTACGCCCTGTAAATTCTTTGTCACAGTCATCTTTATTTACTTCGTAATGCAGCTTTGAAATCACTGAATATAGGCTTAAAGATTTTTCTTGCACTAAAATAAGTGCATATGGCCCCTGTACTGAAACACATACAGATTTCAGTTAAAGATTTGAATGAACAGCAATAGATTTTGCTTATAATATAGGAACTGCCTGCAACAAAGAACACTGGTGGCTTTTGAAAAGGGGAAAGCAGAAAATTAGTATTTTTAAAAATTATCCATTCTTCTGTTAACTAAAAACTTATAAATTTAATTATTTCATTCCCCTTTATAATGTCAAATTTTTGTATTATATTTTTATACTGCTTTATTTTTTCTAGTATAAACGTCATGAAAAAGCTCATTGGTTCTTCTAACCTATTTGTGATGCAAGTGGAAATGGATGTTTACACAGCACTTAAAAAGGTACTGGCATAATGTGGTAAATGTGCAAACATTAACTCAGCATTGGTTATCTTGTTTAAAACCTGTAAGAATTAAGTGATATCCAGTGGGAGAGGGATAGTTTTAAGAAAAGTAAAAGTTGCAATGCCACAGTATGAAAAAGTTTTTGTATTTAGAATTGTGTGATGATTTTAGTTTTTCTTTGTACTTTTCTATCCTATAAATACATCTCTGGTTTTTCTTAGGCCAATTTTTACATAATAGCAATGTTATTATTATTTACATAATAGGAAGTGTTTTCTATTAAAAAAGGGGGGGATTTTGATGGAATCTTAATTAAGCACTCAACTGCAAACCTAAAGGTCAGTGGTTCAAAGTGTACAATTTAAGAAATCCTATAGCACTGTCCTGTTGGATTGCTGTAAATCAGAATTCAACTCATAGGTTTGCTTTCCAAAGCTCAGTTTTAGTAGAATCAATGACTATTTTAAAATTTACACATACACTTTTTAAAAAAAAAATGTTAAAGAGCTAGCTTTACAGAGCATCCAGATTAATAATCCATGGAAAGTATATTATTAGAAGGAAACTAATCTTACTACTAAGCAGTATGTTATATTACACAATGAAAGTTTGCGTTTTGGAGTTGAAAAAATATATATAAAGGATCATGAATGGATTTAAAAAAATGTCTAGTTAGTGACTTGCTTATTTTAAGTGATCACCTTAAGTGAGAAAATGTATTTTTAAATATGTTTTTTAAAGTGCCTTTTGAACATTTTGGAACAAATGGATTTAAATAAATGCGTACAAATAAAAAAGTTAACGTTCTTGTTTTAAAGACAACATTTGTATTTAAGGAATCTGTTTCCCTTTACTCTTTTGAAATGTTTCAGCATTTTTTAATATTTTATTTTCACAACTCTTTGAAGAGACAAATCTGTTATTAGATGATTCTGTTTTGTTATGTGCCGTTGAGTTGAAACCAATTCAAACTGACCTTCTAATGGGTTTTCAGAGACTGTAAAACACAGTAACTGAACCACATTATGAAGAGGATGAAATGTAAGCAAAAAGGAAAGATGAGAGGAGTAGGGAACTGGGGAGGAAGCAAAGAAGAAGAAAGCAAACAAGAAGCATAAGAAGTCTTGTAGTGTAAGTCACTGGTCAGGATAACATCAATGAGGAAAATGTGGAGATAACAAGCTGGCAGGAGCCTTCAGTGAGTTGCCTGACCTACATCCCCTCAACCACATATCCAATTCTTATACTTTCTCTTGCGTGCACGCTTGCTCTCACTCCCGCTCGCTTGCACACTTTCTCTGTCTCTCTCTCTCTTTCTCTCTGTGTGTGTGTGTGTACACACACACACACACACACACACACACATACTGATGGCTTAGTGGTAAGGAGTTGTGCCAAAAAGCCCACATTTCACATCTGTCAGCTTCTCTACAGAGAAACATAGGGAATCTCCTCCTAAATGAAAACCTACTGGAGAGTTGGCTGTGAGTTGGGTTCAGTCCAACAGTACATAACTCAGAGTTCTTAACATTTATTAAGTGACAAACTTGAGGCAGAACTCAAATATTCTGAGTCCTAGTCTGATGCTCCTCTCACTGCGTAATTTTCCTTTTAACTTTTTGTCAACAGCATGGTGTATATATTAATGTTAAATATATACACAATATATTATTGTGGAACCTCTCAGGTTTATATTGGGTTTATTTTTTTAAAGATGAGATTTCATTATTTTACGTCAAGGTTGTTTACTAGAGAATCATTAAGACAATGAGAAAACCCAGTTTCTTCTTTGAGGCACTGGTACATTTGTTCTTTTCCTGTTGTACAATTGGAAGCAGGAGTGGCATCCACTTCCTAAACAACATGCCTCTGGAAACTCGATGAACTTTGGTAAATGGCGAGAGTTATAGAAAGGCTTCAGGTCTTCTCTTCATAGGGTCCCTAAGAGTCATGCTTGACACAACAGCATTCAGCAAAAAAACAACAATGGTAGAACTGCTTTTATTCCAGTCATAAGGAATGCTAATAAGATGCTTCTTCTCCTTCACTGACACTCTCATCTTTTTAAATATAATATTCCTTTTCAAAGAATAGCCTTGCCTAGTTGTTACTCCTGTTGTTGTGTGCCATCAAGTTGCCTGTAACTCATAGACACCCTGTGTACTGTAGCTCCAAAGTCTGCCCTATCCTGAGCCAGTCTCACTGACTTAATCCCCATTGCTCCAGTTACTGTATCATCTCATCCTGGGTCTTCCTCTCCTGTGCTGTCCGCTATCTACCCTTCAAACATGATGCCCTTCTCCAAGGACCAGTTCCTCCTGGAGGAACATACTAAAGTATGTGAGACGAAGCTTCACAATCCAAGGACAAAGTTAGTTTCACCCTCTCCAAGAGAGACCTGTTTGTTTTCTTGGCAGTCCATGGTATGTTCAAGACTCTTATCCAGCACCACAACTTCTTCTTCTGTCATCCTTAATCATTGTCCAGCTCTCTGATGCTTAGCAAGTAATTGCGAATACCATGGCCTGGATCAGACACATCTTAGTCTCTAGACTGAAATTGTAGCTTTTCAGCACTCTGGAGAGGTTCCTAATGGCAAATTGTCCCTGTGAAATTCGTCTTTTGATTCCATGACTGCTAGTACCAAGAGTACTAATTATGGCGCCAAGTAAGCTTTAATTGTTAACAAACTCAGTCTCTTCACCATCTGTCATGGTGCTGCCAGTTTGCCCAGTAAGGAAAATCTTTATATTTTTGATGCTGAGCTTCAGTTCATATTGAAGACTACAGTTCTTGACCTTCTGCAGCAAACACTACAGGTCCCTCTTAGTTTCAGCAAGCAAGATTGTGTCATCTGCATAATGCAAGTGGTAGATGAATCTTCGTCCAATCCTGAGTCCATATTCCTCCTCATAAAGCCCCGACCCCCAAATGATCTGTTCAGCATTTAGATTGAAAATGTATGGAGACAGGACATATCCCTAATAGGATGTACTCCTTTACTGATTTTGAACCATGCAGTGTTGCCTTGCTCTTCTGAGAATTGCTTCCTGGTCTAAGTATAGCACAATCAAGTGTTCTGGGGTTCTCCTTCTCCTCAAGGTTAGCCACAGTGTCTTACGATCCAAACAGTCAAATGCCTTTGCATAGTCAGTTGAACACAGACAGACATTCCTCCGGTACTCTGCTTTCTGCCAAGATCCATCTGACATTGGCTGTAATGTCTGTACTGCCACGACCTCTTCTAAACTCAGCTTGTGTTTCTGGTAGTTCTCTGTCAATGTACTGCTTCAGTCATTTCTGGATAATCTTCACCTGGGTTTTCCTTGTGTGTGGTATTAGTGATATTGTTCAGTAATTTCCATACTTTTGTCTGATTACCTTTTTTTTGGAATGGGAATAAATAATAGATCTCTTCGAGTCAGTGTCCTCCAGATTTCTTGGCAGAACCTGGTGAGAACATCCAGCTTAGCGTCTGTTGAAATATATCAACATTCCAACAATATGCCATCAATTCCTGGGGTCTTATTTTTTGCCAAGTTCTTCATAGCAGTCTGAATTTCCTCTTCCATCACTTATGCCTCTTGATCATATGTTGTTTCTTGAAATTCTTCTGTGTCAGACAATACTTTTTGGTACAGTTACTCTGTATACTTCTGCCATCTTTTTTTTTTTAAATACCAATTCTATACTGATTTACTTATAAAGTTCATATACATTATCTTTAACATCAGATCTTTCCCATCTCCTTTATTCATCCCTCCCTCCATCAAATTGTGTGAACCTATGAGTAACCATCCCCTGCCCATCCTGTCCCCTCTGTTCGCCCACCCCCACCCCTTGGATCCTCATACATGCTCTACAATAATGGTCTTACACAATATTTGTCCTTATGGGACTGAGTTAGTTCAATCAGCATAATGCTTTTTAGTTCCTCCCAAGTTAGGTAGTGATTTACAAAATCAATGCTCCTGACTGCTGTGTAATAGTCTTTTGTGTGAATGTACCATGATATCTCAGTCCATTCTGTTGTGGTTGGATAGTTAGGCTGTTTCTATGTTCTTGCGATGATGAATAACACTACTGTGAACATTAGTGTACAAGTCTCAGTTTTCATTTTCTCGGGAATGAAAGCACTGGAATAGCTGGGTCGTGTGGAATTTCTGTGCCCAGCTTTTTGAGGAAGTGCCAAACTGCCTTACAGAGTGGTTGTACCATTTTCAATTCCATCAACAGTGTATAAGAGTTCCTCTCTCTCCAAATCCTCTCCAACATTTAGTACTTTTTGTTCTGTTAAAACTTTGCTACTGGAGTGAGATGGTATCTCATTGTGGTTTTGATTTTCATCACTTACTGCCAGTGACTTGGAGCATTGCTTCTTGTGTCTATTGACCAACAAAATATCTTCAGAAAAAACTATTTCCATATCTTCGGCCCATTTTGTAATTGTGTTATCAGTTTTTTCTGATGGAGACCCTGTGGGATTCTGTAAACTTTTTTCATGAGACCTTTGTGTGAAATGGTATTACCAAATGTTTTTTCCCAGTCAGTAGGTTTTTTTTGTTGGAAAATGATTTTGATATGCACAGGAATTTAATCTTTGGAAGGTTCCATTCATCAATTTTATCTTCTCCAGATTGTGCATTTCTGGTTGTATTTGGCAGTCTCTTTATAGACTAGGCCATCTAAGCTTGAACGCATTTTGTCTCTGATGAACTTTATAGTTTGGGCTTTATTCTCAGGTCTCCGATCCACTTGAGTTGATTTTTTTATATGGAGTGAGATGTGGATCTTGTTTCAGCTTTCTGTAGCAGTCCAGTTTGCCAGCACCATTTGTTGAAGAGGTTGTCATTTCCCCATTTGATAGGTTTTATTTCCATGCCAAATATCCGTTGACCAAAGCTAGATGGGTCCATTTCTGGGTTCTCAATTCTGCTTCATTGGTCTATGTCCCTGTTGTATCAGTACCATGCTGTGTACTACGTTTTGAGGTCAGA